GGATCCAGGCTAAAGTCCCAAGAATCTCCAACAGAATCGTCCAGAGCATTCTCGATAGCTTTCAATTGTGACGCGTATTCCTCCAAAAATTGGCCATACTTCCTCAACTGCGCTTCACCGACGATTTCTACAGACAGCAAGGATTACGTTAACATTTACAAATTTATAGTGCACGCTTATTTAAAGAGATCAAACTTACTCAGAGAACCGTCATCGAACGCATCCAAGTGCCATCCTTCCTCCATCTTGGAATCATCACGTGATAAACAAACCTGACATTCCTAACGGGGGAGGGCTATAAATCCACGTTATTGTTTATTAAAAATTTGAAATACCAAGTATGAGAGGACGATAACTCAAAATGATCATGAAATGATTCTAAACTTTGTAAAATATCGTAAAAAAAAAAAGCTTTATAATCAAGGGACTGAAGTGAAGTTATAGTTGCTAAGAACAAATCAAATTAGCTTACCGAGACCTCCCTCCAAAGATGTCATTTGACACTTTCTTGCAGGCCTGGTTACGTAGGATTTCAACATGGCGGCTACGCAACGTCGAACGAGGAAGAGGAAACCACAGAATCCTGGAGTGTCATTTGCTGCGGGATTTCGTCTTCCAACACTGAAACAAAGTAGAAATGCAATAGGATTATCTAAGATTCCTAAACTTTTCGAACCAGGGCCAGAGAATGCGCATTTCCAACGTATTCCGCACCCCAATAGCGTGGACGACTGGTTAGCTCAATACAACGAAGAGGGGCAAACGTGTAAAAACTTTTTTAGAACTTGTCCCTGGATTTCAGGACGGAAAGTAAAATACACAAAGCAAAATTTTAATCCAAAGGGGAAGAACATAAAGGAGAGATACCCAGATGGGAAAATTTACATTTTGCCCATAGGAGATTTCGATCAAAGTGTCTCGGATTGCAATCCCTGTATTGATGATTTAACGGACTACACAGAGCGGTTTTATTCGTTGCCTGTCGTTGTTCTGCCAACAGTGAAGCTTAAACTGCCCTCAAAGAAAGGTACTGAAAACCTTGACAGAAGAATGCATACCTTCTATCTCAGGCAGATTATAATCCATCTTTCCTTCAGACAGCCGTCTTTTTTTGTTTTGTTTTGTGTTTTTAATAAGAAACATCATCTCTTGCAGGTGGTGTGGCATGTTGGAATTATGAATTGAGCAATCAAATGAAAGTTTCATCAAGTACGGCAAAGAGAACATGTAGGCAAAGTCCTCGGGTACAGTCAAAACAGCTAGAACTCAATCATCGTTGGTCTCATGGTGTGTAATAAATCTGATGGCTCTTTCATTTCCAAGCCCACCCATTCCTCCCTAACCCCTGGGAATTTGATGGGCATATGATGGTGGGGACCTACAACCTGTCGAATGCCCGGAGGGTCTTGGAATTGACAGGGCCATAACTGATATCCTACCATCTTGACTGGGCATTCTTGGTCGAATATGTCATTAGGTCTCTGGTAGCCTCCTATGCAGACCCTCCCCGAGTTTTTCATACGATCCCTCCCTCCTTAAAATGTATGTTTAAGAGGAAGGAAGTTGATGTGGATGAGAGCAAAGAGTGTACATGTATCTGTTTAGGAGGCTAGGAGTATTGGCTGAATGTTAAATATGTCCGAAGATTTTCAAAGATGGAATGTACAGTTTGCACTGTGCTTTCCATTCTCAGTGCCATGAAATTTTTGCGATGATCTCTTTACATCAACTTTCCATTGGCTAAAGAGCTAATTGAAAGAATTTGAATCATGTAGACTTTGCTTCTGCTGCTGCAGCCCTGTGTGCCAGTAGGCATGACAGACAGTGGCGAGTGAGTGAGTTTGTGAGACTTTGTTGCATTGTTGTCTCAAATTGGGTTAAGTTCACTTTAGCAGATCCAAATATGCTTACAAATGACTAAGTGGTGATGAAGAAGTTACTTTGCTTGTTAAAAGGGAGGGGGAAAATGAAACAGATTTTGATCCTGTCAAACCTTGCATCAGTAGCTATCAGTTCAAGAAAGGAGATGCACAGACTAGCTGTGCTCTAGGCCCCACCCTTAGAATTGCCAATTTTGAGATCCAAGTGTGTGAAGTTCATTGCTGCAAGCTTGTGTATAATGGATAACAGTTTGCATGTCATATTTCCATATTTGAATGAATGAGCCTCGTCAGTTTAGCATTGTTCACATGACAACCAGGCAGGAATGTATCTTTATTGTTCCATCAGGACACATTCAACTCAAAGTAGACAGCATCCATAACCTACTTCGGCAGCAGATTGCCGATGATGCACTCTGTTTGATCGGTCTGACCATGGTAGATCTGTACGAGGATGATCCTGACTTGTTTGTGGCAGGACTGGCAGCTGGAAACCAAAGAGTTGCTGTAAGCAATACTGATCAGCATCTTATTTTTCCTCTTGGTTTTAGTAGGTAACCAGCCATGCAAATGTTTAGAATTAAGGAAAAGATCAACAAAGGAAAATTGCTGTGATATTTCAACAAATATATTAATATTCCCAACTACATGTAGCACTATTTATAACAATTGAAAGCACATCATTAAAGATAATTTGTATGGCTGAAAAGGTTAAAGGTCAGATTGACTGTTTGAAGTCACAATCTGAAGTCATTTGTGCTGAGCAAAAACTATCCAGTCAAGAGATTTATTTGATGGAAATGATCTTTTCCCTCGTTTTAAGGTTTTTAGCTTTGCCCGTTATGATCCATCCTTGTCTTTCTCCACTGAACACTGGTATGACATCTGGCCTGCAAAACAACTGGAACCACTCAAGAAGAAGCAGATAGTTTTACAGGTAAATGATTCATGCTACTGCCACAGGTAGGTAATAACATACACTGATGCAAGCAACTGATGGTTTGCAACCAATCC